GTATGAGGTGAGGTATGTTTTCGAAATGAAAGTACAATGTTTTGACTGCATATTTGGTCATCTTCAGGTACAAACATTAAACACGAGGAAAAACTGATAACTTTATCAGTCACAACATATTTCCTTTCACTCATGTTTTATCTATATTTACATTTTCAGATGTTGACTGTTAATGTTTTTTTGTTACTTCACAAATAAAGCAGATTAACTTGACTTTATAATATTAACTAGTGTTATAGCAATTTGTGTCAAAATGAGTTCCTTCTTAGAAAAATACAGGAACCTGTGAAACATTTGACTTTTTACTACACAGTTTTTTTTTGTTTCTCACAAAATCACTTTTATTTAGCATTTGAATAACAGTGGCTAATAACAATTGAGTTTGGCAATTAAAATGTCCTGTTTATAGTATAAAAGGTTTTTATTTTAGTGACTAAGCTATGTGGCTAAATTTAAAAACTACAGGTGGGTGTCCACTCTCCTGTAAGCTATTGTTGGGTATGGATTATACAGCATGTTACATATACAATCAAGCTTTGACTACACATTGATGGTATTTATATATTATACCTGCATTTTCAAAAGTTAATTTTATTATCTTGTTGATCTCACATTTAAAGCAACAAAAGTTCATTATAAATCATTAAAAAACAATCTTTTGCATTTAGTCACATTAATACTCAACAGATAACATGACCAATCATATAAAAACATGTGAAGTCACAGACAAACTTTGTTCAATTTCTGACTGATGACAAACATTATTTTGTATCCTGAACTTGTGTGTCATCACAACAAATACTAAAAAGCCTGAAAGGAAAACATACAAATTCCCAAAATGATCAAATAAGTTTTTAAAGACTCTTATTCAAAAACATACATTGAAAGTACAAGGATGTATTAACACCTCCTCTTAATACATTAGAAATGTTTCACAATGCTTAATGATATTGCACAATTTTATTTAACAATTAGTCTAGTAGTATTTGATAACAAGCAACTTTATAAGTTACCAGTATTCCCAAAATATTAACCTGATTAGATTTTTCCCAATATTTCAGAAAACAATTAAATACTATACTTTATTATACATCTTTGAATACTATTATGGTAAAAAAAAATTACTTATATTGTTTTATCTAAAACACTGGTAAAACCAAGATATAAAAAGTCAGGATAAGTAAGCTTCATAGTTAAAAAAGTCCAATATGTCACAAATTCCTGTAGTGTAGTTTGTTATGTTTTTGTGAACAGAATCATTTGGACTCAAAATTTCTAGATCACTAGCTAATACCAGACAAGACTGATTTACCATTTTTACTTTCTTATAGTTTTTTAACTTTTTTTTTTAATACTTGAGAGTATCTAAGTTAACAAAATAAATTAGTATTTTAATACTGCATATGAGTTAATAATTCTAAATCACTGGAAAATACCTCAGTTTGGCAATCATCTTCAGATGTTTGGGAGTTTATGCCACCAGAAACCTGAAATTGAAGTTCTTCCAACAGCTTGGTTTTATCTTTCAGCTCTTTCTCACTATTATCAAGCTGGTTATTCATCTCCCTTTCAGAATCAAAAAGTAAAGAAGAACAATAAAACTAATACTATAAGATTAACTTGAAAATTTTTAAATCTGTTAAAACTTTAAAATATAATGTAGATTTCTAATGAGTGATTTCTATGATCTTTACATGCTGTACAAGACTTAATCTTCAAATTGCTAACTTGCTTATCATTTACTACCAATGTGGTCAAAAAATCTTGCATCATCTTGAGTAACTTTACATTTTGCATTTTACAGTACCCAGAATAAAGAACTGACCCCCAAAAATTTGAGATAAATTACTCATTTTCTATATAAAAGACATACAGTTTCCCAACAGTAATTAGTTGGAGTAACTATAATATTAATGGTATTTTTCTTTAAACTTCTTTTGTGGACTTGTATGTTTTAGGAACCCTGAAACAAACAAAGTCATGATCCCACAAGTAAATTGGTACATAAATAGTTTCAGAAAAAGTGTTTAGCTAGGCAATGAAATTCATATGAGCCCACTGGTAACACATAATATGTCCATTCTTTAGAAGAGAAAGTATATATATAAAGGTATTATTTCACCTTAAAGTGATGAAAACAGCATTTAAACATATTAATAAAGTCCTCACATATTTGTCTTACACTTACAAATTGTTAGCCTGGTTACAAAATAAAAGCAAACCTAGAATTAGTGATGGGGTCCGTGTACTACGAGTTATTCAAAAAACAAAAACTCTAACAATTTATATACCTAATAGTTTGTGCGACAAGATTGTTAGTTACAGGATTCCTACTAACATACAAGTCACATATAACAAAAATACCATTAATACTGTGATTAACTCTACTAGTTACTGCTGTATTTTTATATAGCAAATGACTGACTGATTTCTTCCATTCTCTTGGTCAGTTCTTTACAGTGAGAGTTGTGACTGGCAAAAACATAAAATTATTCTATACAATCCAATAAGTGGACCTTGATGGTAGTGAATGATATGTAAAAAAGCAATAATTTGAAGGCAAAATGAGACAACACCGAAATCATAAGTTTACAGAGCATATCTCTCATACAACAGAGTCCACTTGTTGCATTTTATCAGTATAATACTATTCATGTAAATTACGATTATGATAATTTACGATACATTTTGATTTAAATGTCATCTACACTAAGAACCCTACAATGTAGAATCATTTTTTTACCTTATATCCCTTTTTTGCTTGTCTAATAGAACTACTTTTTCATGTAAATCACAAGTCACATGGTGCAATTCAGTTTTCAGGCGTTTTATTTGGCGTTCCTTTTTCTGAAAATTAAAAATTTCTCACAACCATGTCATTCTTAAAGTAATACAAAAAAAATCACAAAATACATATTTTTCTTGTTTAATTTATACACTGATCAGATAAAACCCAAGTGAGGTTTGAAAATCTGATGAAAAACTTTTATTTTGACCTACTCTGACTCCATAATTTTGACCACACTTAAGCTATATTTGAATACTTCTGTGTACTATGGATATCAATGCAGTAAAAATTAATCAAATAACTATACAGAGATTTGGCTACATGTTATAATGTTTACAAGAGTTTAAAACCTTCATAATTCAAAGCATTCACCACTTTAGCTTGAAATTTGTTTACAGATTTATTTTACCATTTTTGTGATTAAACTGTGTGCAACAAACTATTGTCAATCAGCAGAAGTCTGGTAGAGTTATTAACAAAAAGTATCTGTAAGTGTAATAAACAACAAAATCAATCTTTTTTATGATATTTCGGACACTTACTTATATATATATATATGTGTGTGTGTAATGGTTAGTGTTTAATTGGACATGTTTGAAAAGGATGTTTTCATGTTCATTGTTTAAATGTAAAAATAGTAGCTGATCCAAATAAAGTAACAAAAAAACAACTTAAAACCCAATGGATTTAAACCTGGTTTTTCCCATTTTTCAAAACTGCCAAGACTAGCTGCTACTGTAAACACTGCTACAATTATATCTGAAAAGTGTAGATAGCATTCTACAAAACTTATAGTGTCTCTTTCCAAGGCAGCTTTGTCTAACAACTTTTATCTTACTCAGACTCGTTTTGTGAGGAATTATAAAATCCACTACATGAAACCTAAGTCATACTCAATTTTCAATGCAGTTCTGTCACATACAGGTTACCATATAACAATAAAATTTCCTGGTATGACCCTTACCCAAAACAGTTGTGCTACTTAATTCACTACATGAAAACTCAACCTTATCCTCTGATTCCTCCCAATAAGGCACTTTTGTCTACTTAATTAACTACAAAGCAACTTAATATGGCAGAATTACTACACACAAATTCTAAACACGTTTATGTTAAAATTAACCATAAGATTAAAAACGTATTGTTTATGTTGTTTTCTAAAGGAAGATGATTCACAATATTCATAATTCAAGTTCAGAATAATAAACACACTTTTATAAGTGCAAATTAATTTATTCCAGTATTTCCTAATGTGCTGCTTTCAAAATACAATTTGTAATATAGTGAACAGCATATTATAAAATCAAGCACACATTTCCCTACAAAAACACATTTCATTATTAAACCATGATTTAATGTGATCCTATACACTGATAACTTATGCAGTAAACACTAAAACAAGGGGAATACTGTTCCTCGATTATTCACATGGTCAAAATCTTCATCCCTGAAAATCTACAAAAATTACTGAAAAAAAGGTGAATTGAATTACCTGAATCATATCCCTCTGGTGGTCAACAATTTTGTGGTACCTGGAAGCTGCTTCAGTCTTTAGACTGACCAGTCTAGAAGCTGTGGAGTCCAGCTGACTCCTTACATCTCTAGCCACTTTCTGTTGGACCTCAAGTTGGTGCCGATACACTGACCTTTCTGCTCTGATATCAATAAATAACATTTTTTTAAAAGAAATAACATCTTTATTATACAAACATTGATGAAATAAAAACTACCCATTTTTAAAACACATGAAGAAGCAAACTAAAACTTGACAGCAAAAAAATATTTATAAAATAATAAATAATCTTTATGAACAGTAACTGCTAACATAACTCAAACAACATGCACATTCAACCCTAACAAGCCATTTGATTATAACCATGGATGGCAGTTTATTATATTTGAAAAGAAACTATAAACTATGAAGTCACAAACAGCTGAAAGTTAACATTTTCCTTACCTGAAAATGCATTTTCAATAGATACTCACCTCTCACATGGAAAGCTATCTTCTCTGCGTGTCTGCCTTAGATATTTGGATGGCACTAGCCTTTAGACAACTCCCACCTAAACTCATGAAATATCTCGTGACTTCCACTACTGAATTATGACATTATTATGCAGTAAAAACCTTCCACCAATAGAAGGGTGACACAAACTCCCTGCACACTAGCTCCTTCTATGCCTTTTGCACTCGTGATCTTCATTCTATGATGAGGCAAGGAATACTAAGTTGCACAGGAAGGGGGGATAGGAAGAGTGGAAAGTGTGTAAAGAGGTGAGTATCTGTTGGAAATACATTTTCAGGCAAAGTGAAACACACTTCTGTACATGGAAAACTAGAATCTTACATTGATATGGTGGAGGGAACAGTTCAAAATTTACTTAGATGAGCTCCCTTCAGAAAGCACCCAAAAGAAACCCATGGAGTGTGACTTCTGATAGCAGGGGCTCCATAGGGGCACACTCATGGGAAATTGCATCTCATCTCTTACAGGGTGCATTCTTTGCCCAGAGTAGAAGGAAGAGGCTAATGAGCCCCATGTGTCATGGGTATGGGCAGAAGAAGAATATGGCCATCTGAGTAATTGCACACAAGAGGTCAGATAACCAATGTGTGTAGCATGGTTGGGGCACATTCACACCATACGTAGTTCACACCTCAAATCTAACGTCAAACTTACTGAACCAACACTGGCTGCAGGAGGAGGGCATAGAAATTAATCAACTCTACCAGCAGACTCTTGGACTGACACAAACTACAGCAGTAGTGCACAGAATTCATGCCATAGTGTGTGTAATGGTGGTGCGTGCTCGCCACAACTTTACATTCAGACTCTTGGTACATCACCAGCTGCAGGAGGGCATGTGCCTACAGCATGTGCTCACCTCGACTCTATTGAACAGACACAACAACAGGGGGAGGGCATGGTATATTGGTGCATGCTTACTTGACTCTACTGTACAGTCACCCCCTGCAGGAGGATGGCACATTTCTTGGAATGTGATTACCTCAACTCTATTGGACATGTGCAGACTGTAGAAGGAAGGCACAGTATGCTTCTAGTATGTTGATGGTATAATTATATGAGGGGTGACCTACGCTACATTAACAGTGTCACTACTGCTCCACTACCCAATGCTTGGTATCCCTTGTTCTAGCCCCAACAGTTAGGTCCCAATCAGTGAGGGTTCTCTAGGGTCCACCACCCCAGTGGCTAGGAACTGGTAAGTGGTAAGGGTCTTCCTTGCTCCACTCGAAGAAGAAGGGAGAATAATTTGCACTGGGAAGACCTGGAAAAAATATCTTGATCCCCATCAGTCCTTTTTCAGCCCAAAAGGTCTTTAACTGGAGACAGTGCAATGGGTGACCATATAAACCTATTTTGAAAATTTAGCAAGCAAGAGCTAGGGAATCAGGCAGAGCACCCCCTGGTGCTGGCTTTTTCTATGATAGTCTAAGAAATAGGTACAGTCTAGATCAGACAGTAGACAGATATCATAACAGACCACAAGGATACCTAAAGTGATCTGGCAGAACACCCCATCTCAACAGGGTGGATTGTATGAGTGCTTTCTGTTATCCTGCCTCGATGCAAAATTTTGGGAAATAAGTGTACCCTGGGAGGCACCACCAGCCACTTGGCAGGATCTGATAAGCAAATGGAATAAAGATGGTGGGTAGACTGTAGGACAATGAACAGAAGCAGGCAATGACCTACAGGAGACAAGACAGCCAGATGGCAAAGAAAGTGAGCATGCCAGCTGAAAGGATCTTGGCCAATGGAAACAACTGGTGAGAGAATGAGAAATGAGGGGATGAAATATTAACCATCTATGAGCAACAATGTCCTATGAGGAGTAGGCCAAACAACGAATTTGGTGGACCCTATTAAGGTAGAAGATTTGTCTCTGGAGGAAGAGGAATCACAGGGAATGTAGATGGAAGAAGGAAACCCCGTAATTGATAAGTATGAGCTAAGTAGCAATGAACAGCATAAACAGAACACAAAAGTCTGTTTGGGTCCAAATGATCACAGATGAGTGACATAGAAGGAAAGGAATACAGGAGAAGGGTAGAGGTTTTCTCCCCAAGCAATTGAAGACTGAGAGAGGAAGGACCAGTCTGGAGAAATAAGAATATAAGGTCAATGGAAAGGAATGGTATGAGTCATTAGCATAAAGATCTGCATGATGGTGACCACAAATGAGAAGTAAGAGGAATATGTCTGAAGAGAAAGTGGTAGAAGTTGCATGTTGCCAACAGCTTGAAAGAGCATGAGTAAAAGTGCGTAGGATGACACTGAGATCCCAGTCAAGCATGGAAACAGGACAAGTGTGTCTATGGAGAAGATAGGACCAGAAGAAAGTGGAGAGAACTGACAAAAGAAACACATTGAGGTATCAAGAAATGTGAAATGTTGAAAACTAGGCCACTCAACAGCTGGCAAAGGTGGAGACATCTGGACCCTGTCGAACAGCCTGGTAAAGGGAAGAGAGATGTTTGACAGTAGAAAGATCAGAAGGAAGGTGGTGACAGATTGACCAATGTCAAAAGCTACACCCCTATGAGGATAGAAGGACAAGGTCAAATGATGCCCGGACTAGGAAAGGAAAAGATTACCAGAAGGGAAAGTCTGATTCAATGAGCAATGGACCAGACTAATCCAAATGTGAAGGTGGAAGGACAAGATCCCATGATGAATAGGAGACAGGAGATGATGAAGAAATAGTGTATAATAGGCAGGGAGAGGGAGTTGGGTTGTCAGGTGGCATAGAAGAGGGAACTAAGGGTAAGCCAGTCAGAGGGGTACCACCAAGAGGACACGAATAAGAGTGTCTCTAGTCAAGGCCAGGACCCAAGATACAGGCTGGAAAGGTGAATGAGCATTATGAAAAGTACAATATTGGGCATGGCAGAAGGCAATGACAGCCAGGGCTGAAGGATGTAGGACAGATGATCAGAAGATAGGAAGCATAAAAGTGAGAAGGTTGGCTAGGCAGCGATGAGTGAAGTCCTCAAGAAAGCATCCCCAATGGAAACAAGGGGAGAAGAGACCATCTGTGGGCAGAACATGGTCTGCCCAAGAGAAGCAGTCCATAACCTGATTCATAGTATATGGCAAGTGAGGAAACCAAACATTGAAAATTGGCCCAATAAGGAAGGGCCAGGGATTGAAAACAAGGGTTTCTAGATCAGACACTCCATGGTGGTTAATTTAGGAAAACCAAGAAGTTGTAGGAATGGTACATTACAAAATGATCTACTAGGAGTGGTAATAATGGTATCTTGTCCTACAGTCTACCAGAAGTTCGAGCATATGGAAATGGGGAAAGGAATTGTCCTGGGTCCATGTGCCAGATGTAAAATTGTCATTCAAGGATGCTCCTCAACAAGAGGGAAGCATACTGGAAGAGGTGTAGGTCCAATGCAGGCGGAGGTAATGGAACACAGAAGGTGATATTGGATTGATCCAGTCACCCATACAAGTATTAGAATTGAGGAAGGGACAGGGGAATCACTGAGGTAAAAAAATCCTGAGAGGCATCCCTCTGGGCACACAAGGACAAATGGACCAAGGGATAAGCAGTCCTCATGAAACCATGGTCACCAAACACTAAACCTCACATGCAGAATGAGTAGGATAGGCACAAATCCTAGTAACTATAAGTTCCATAACTCACAGACAGATAGGAGAAGGATGATCCCAGCTGAGAATGAGTTGAACCCCCCCCCCCTCTGGTGAATAAGATATTGAGTGGGAGGGAGGAATTGTTGGAAGTGGACATGGACACAACCTCAAATAGATGTTGGACATAGATGGGAGTGAAAGGAGAAAATTAAACAAGATGAGGACTGAAGGAGTAGGTAAAGAAAATTAGAGAGAAGGTCCATGGGTAAAAAGTAGAAAAACTACAGGAGCTCAAATCCTGATTGCTGGGTGCCTATGGGACCCAACATGACAGAAACAACACCAACAAGCTCAGCAAGTCTGATGCTAAGTAGAAGAGGAAGTTGTGAAGTGGAAATTCAAAAACAGGGAATTAGGAACTAAAATGAGGTACAATGGTAGAGGGTAGGGTTACAGTGTGAAAATAAAGTACAAACGTAATGATTGATGATGGGCAGCCTCAGCTTGTGAATCAATCAGAACAGGAATACCTCCAAACTTCAGAGCAAAGAAAGAGGCTAGGTGAAGGGTTAGTAGAAGGGAAGGAAGAAGTCAAATTTAGGATAAAAGAGTATCCCTACCAAACAACCCCCAACAACAAAGAGGCGGGTGGGCAGGGAATGGTAAAAGTGGAATGGCCACAATAGAGAAATGAATGGAATGAGAATCACCTGCAAAATTCTCTGGGGCACAGTAGAATGCTTCAGACTTGAGATGTAGAGAGAAGAGGTAAAGATGTGTGGTAAAAAGGATCAGGCAAAGACAAAAGTATTGGGTACTGGAGGGTGAAACTGATGCCAACTGTCCCCTCCTCCCAACAGGCAAAGGGAATCCCAAACATGAGAATCACGAAAAGGGATGCAGAAAGATGAAACACAAGGAAACAGGAATCAGATAGATGGGAAGGCAAGGCATGATGTTGTGGAAACGTAAGTGGTCCAGCAATGGTAAATGAAATGAGTTAGGAATAAAAATGATATGTGAAATTGAGGACTAAGAATGTGAGAAAGTTGAAGTTTTTGTTCAACAGGGAGAGAAGTTCTCAAAGCTTAACTAGGTGAAGGAATAATCAAATTTTTCCACCATTCATTCCAGTAACAATAGGAAGAAACAACTAAAGAAGGGACTGGAACTGAAGGCCCTGGAAGCATAAGGGAACCCACAACTCTATTCACAATGGCCACCACACCATCCTCAGAGAACATGCCTCCATAAGCTATAAGTGTTATACAACATGTGTGAGTAAATTAAGCACACATACAAGCAGTAGAAGACGTTACAATAATTAGTGTTCATAGACAAAAAGAAGGAAAGTTCCCTAAACATTGCAAATCTTGTTAAATTGACAAAAAAAAAACATGTTTAATGTGTCCAGTGCAGAGGAATAGAATGAATATCATGAGCGCAAAAGTATAAAGGGAGTTAGTGCACAGGAAGGTTGTGTCCCGCTCCTATTGGTCATTATTATGCAGTAGCACAAATCACGAGAAATCTTGTTTAGGTGGGAGTTTCTAAAGGTTAGTGACATGCAAATCTCTAAAGCAGATTTAGTTAATAATATTAAACCTTACAACAGCTATATATATCATCACTGAAAATTACTTACAACTATTGTGTAAAATACATAGATTACAACAAATACAAATACATAGATTTTAAAGTAGAAACACTAATTTCTTACTGAAACACATAAATTCTGACTGCTTTATCAGAAATAGTGCTGACACTAATCAGTAACAGCTTCAACTTCAATTTATGCCTCAAATACTTTAGCTATAAGAAATTCAAAGCACTCTATGTTCCTTCTGAAACAAAATTTTTCTTAATTAACAAACATACCGAGTTATTATTTTACATGATACATGTGAATGTGTACACTTTTCAACACCCATAAATAAATTAACTGTGCTTTGGAGATAATATTTCAAGAGTCAGTGGACTTAGCTTTATAACAGTCTAAAAATATTTTGGAAAATGAAGTATACTTCCAGATCAGGAAAAGTATTCCATACTAGAGTGAGTTAAATGACCTACCATTTCTCCTAAACAAAACCCATAGTTACACTCAAAACATATGTTCTAATATTAAAACCTACATATACATAACAATCAAAATGCTACCTGATTTAAGTTGATTCAAATTCATGACTTTAAATATGAATGTATAGTTTGACTTATCATATTCTAAGTATACCCAAGACTTTAAAAACATGCTTTAAGAGTTAGATTAAATAGTTTAAAAATGATCAAAATCAATTATGAATTGCAATAAACACATTTTCACAAAAAAAGATACATCAAATTTAAATCATCCAATACTTTTATTTCAGTTACTTTTTAACAGATTTATCAGAAAATGTATAACAAGCAGAGTCAAGTTAAATAGTTTATGGACACTATTTTATCAAATAAAAAAGCATGTGAATAGAGATTTAACTTGTTCATATACTGTATCTTTAAAAAGGAAAGGATTAAATTATATTTCTTTCAGAATAGATAAATACCTAAGTTTTTCAATAGTTTTTAACAACTGTTCTTCTTTAACAATATTACTATTTTTTGTAGAATGAGTCATATCATTGTCAAGGTATATTCCTCCTTTCATTTGATTCAGTCTGTGGTGAAGTTCTAGAAACAAAAGATTTATTATGTGCTATATGTTAGTTATCGTGAACATTGTAAAGCATGGTATCTAGTTATGTATATACATACATACAAACAAACTTTTTAAAAAAAATCTTAATGAAGTAAACATTCAAAGATTTTTCAATTTTTAACTTATTGCTATTTCCTGTACTTCAGCTGATGTACAGATCAAGTTCTCATGATCTCGAAATTCAAATTAAATTTGTGTGATTAAAAAGTAAAAACAAACATTTATTGTTGTTGTATTTCATTTAAATGCTAAGATATTTAAAATTTTATATTCCCTTAATAATAAATAAAATATCAATAATTAAAATGTTTTCTTACTATAATTAGCTTTTTTATTTACATTGTTTGCATACTCCCTAAGTATTTGATTAAATAAGAACTCTTAAATATTAAATCATAGATAAGTACATTTCTACTTTTAGAGAAGTATCTCAATGAAAATAAGCAAGAGTAATTATGAAGGATAAAAATTACCATGGCTGAAAAAAAAAGTTTAATCTAATACAATTAAATTTATCTTAATAATACATATTCCACTATGATAGATATATTTTTCACAGATGAAAGACTTTAAGAATCAGATTAGAAATTGTTTTGGAGTTTGTGAGTATCTTTTAGACCTATGACAAAGTTTTATGTTTACCACCTTTAATTTCATTTTGAAGAGCTCCCACTTCTTTCTCCTTAGTATCAAGTTGTTGCTGACCTAAATCTAGTTCAACACGTAATTTTTGCAGCACACTGTTTTGCAGCTCTACATTTTCTTTCCATGCTGCTAATTCATCCAGATAACACTTTTGGCTATTGGTCTGCTTTCTTGGGGAGCTTTCTACTTTCTTGGCTTGCTCTGTAGCTTCTAGTTCCTTTTGAAGCTTTGCTTCTCTTTGTTTTAGTTGATCCAGCTGTTCAGCCATCTTACAAGCCACTGTCATGTGTTGTTGCTCAACTTCCTGCATTTCATTTACAATCTGAAAAATGAGGTACGCAATATATGTAGTGAGTATTTTTACATTTTATAAATATATTTGATTTAGCAAGTTACTATGGTATTCCTACTCCTATAGGAGTCAATAAGATATGTCAAATATAAGCTAAGTATACTCTAAAAAGTAATAAACTGCAAATCAACAAATTCTTTTTGTGTGTTTATGTGTATAAATGCAATTTATTTAATTGCAGAGTAGGTTCTAAAACAAAAAATGCTAAAAGAAATGACTAAAATTTTGTCACTTTGTAAAGAAGACAAAATTATGTAAAATAACTAGATATCAGTTTGTCCTAAGATGATATCTTTAAGCTTATGATTCAATCTTTAAACCTCAGGACAATTGTGTTGTATGCTTAAAATACATTATCTCAGCACACAAGAAATACCCTAATTCCTTTATGTTAACTTAGAGCAACTAATTAACAATACCAGGAATTAATTTCACTTAACATAAATTATAAAATGTATAATACAGCTAGAAGGGCTGTTTTCTAGCATTTAACTCATAACTCTTTCTCTCTCTAATCAAGTATCTTGTGAACTTGTAGGCTAAATACCAAAAAAAAGAATAAACGGTTAAGAATTTGGAATTTTAACATCTTTAAAATAATCTGCAAAAAGTTAAACAGGACACAGTAAATCAATATTACACTAAATACACGTCTCAGTTTCTTGCACCAAATTCAAAGACTGTCTACTAAAAAACTTGCAAAAATTCTAACAAATTTGACATAATCAATACAACCAGTCTCCCTCACCAAGTAACAATGAACAAACATGTGCATAGGAAAAACTTTCAACTAGATTGCTCATAGAATCACCAAAAGGAGCAGCCACCACACTTGCTGTTTCTTGTAAATGCATGCTTTTTTTATCAGAAATGTAGACACATTGACTGCCCATCAGATTGGACTGAAAACAAAATTTCTCTCTAATTTATGAAGAGTAAACCTTAAATTATTGAAGAACAACAGCAACATCAAAATAACAAAAAACATAATTATTTTATGTTTCAGAATGGTCTCATTTCAAATACAACAAGTAAATCTGTAAGTGATATAAAGAGAGTAAAACTCAAGTAACATGGATGGAAATACAAATTATGATATAATTTATGGTAGTCTAAACACTTTTGAAAGTGAGAAACAACTAAAGGATGAGTAATGAAATCTAAAATAACTTAAGTTGCAGAGAAAAATCATAAGATGGGATATAGTATTTAATAAGGAGTTTCTTTATATGTAATTGTATTTCAGTACAACATGTAGTTAAGAATTGGAAGTATAAGAAAGATATTTTATGATTACAGGTTTGACTGTGTGTATGGTCAGAGGAAGTTATGGGAAATGACACTGTTTTCTTGTTTTGTGTGAAGTTCATATACATTCATGGTTACACAAAGCAATGGTGTCTAATTTTACCTATGTAGGTGTGATATTTTATGCTTAAACATATGATTACTTACTTACACAGGTACACTTGACAGTGAATTTTTTATAAAACTTGGTATTCTATTTTTCTATATACAATCTTAATGATGAATGTACTCTAAGTTACTCTATGTTTGCATAGAAAACAAATACGTGAATAAAACATTGCATATTTTAATCTTGGTTTTACCTACTACAGAGTTGTGTACATTATGTCAAAACAAGTTTTAATATGTAAATCGGCAAACTACCTGACCAAAGTTGATATAACATAATGCTGAAATGGCACGTATGAGAAATACCTTTTGGCATTGTTTGGTGTTTCGTGGGTACTATTCTGCCACCAAAAATTGATTACTTTTGGGAAAGGAATGTAACAGCTCTTGCCGATTCAAAATATACACTCAGATCATCATGTGTTAAGATAGAGGATTTAGAATTTCCAAGATGATGATATCTCTTTTACTTAATGGAATTGGAAAACAAAGGAACATGGATCAACTTGAGACTGAAAGAACACTCAAAAAGAGACCTGCATTAAACATTATCTTAGCTGTGGTAAGCAAAGTGTGGCATCCTGCAACAGGTGATAATCCATGAACACACAGATCAGTGACAAAATATCCTTCTTGATTATGTTATGTACTGGAAAAGCGACACAACTCATGTGTACACAAATTGCTTTCACAACTTTTATCCATTCAATTGTTGCATATGTCAAGCAGCTGGAAAATGAAAGAGATATTCATGATATTCCATAGGAAAAACACTGTTCAAATCACCAACATAGTACCTATGGATTTCTGTGAGATAAAACTAATAAACCATCATCCTCGTACACTGGATGCATTACGGACAACAGGGAGGAAGGATGGGTGTTCTTTAAACATGGCAGTCTTACAACAGAGTCTTTTGTAATGGAAACTACACTATTGTCAAACTGCATTGTCATAAGATGGAGCATAAGAATGTGGCAACATGGTTTATAATGATGTTCTGAGGCTCCAAGATAAAAATAATAATAATATATAATATACATTCCTCTGTAATTAATGGCATTTTAAAACTGTGAATTTTAAAGCATGTAGCAGTGGCTATCTACAACAGATGTTGCTAGTATACCACATCTAATTATCAGTAACTTCTGATCAAAGCAAGTTAACTACATAAATCAGAACTGAAAAATAACTTAGTTAATAATGTATCTAATAATATATACCAGTTAAAGTAGCAGTGTTTAATATAATAAATTATTAGAAAACTATCCTTATAATGATTAGAAAGCACTGATCCATTGCCTGAGTACCACTAATATTTTTGGTAAAAACACAAAAAATGGCAAGTACCATATATAGTTATACCAGAAACTAAAGAAATATCTAACTAATTACTAACAATCAATAAATTAATTTCTTATGAAACTTTGCTTTAGTGGCATGAATAAATGCATCAATAATAGCTATTGTAATTTTTGGACTGAACTTTTGAAACAGACGAAATATTCTTTATGTAGAAATGTCAATGGTTTGTTGTGTAACAACCATAATACCCGAAACTCCAAAGAACAGTATTTATGTTTATGTTGGAAATTTAATCTGAGAATATCTTATATATTTTACAAATTGTACATTACACGCATCTAATAGTTATATAAAATTGTATACAAATATTTTCATATTTACAAATAAACTTTTAAAAAATGTAGCTAGAGGACTCACAATAAATATATAATTTCACAATTTAATGTAAAACTGGTTACAACTTAGTTCCAGTTATAGAAGCAAACTTGCTTTTAGTTGAAGTAAACATTCTTATTGTTTTACTGGTGAAAACAAGTTTTCAGTAGATTCTTTACTGATATATTTAAAACATTTAATTATGTGAAAAACAATATAGCTTAAATTATGCAGCAATTTCATTATTAAAATTGATGACCTTAACTACAGAATTGTTAAAGTTAACATTTTCCAACACAGAATGTATTTTCTACAGATATTCACCTTTACTCACACATAGCTTTCCTGATTTAGTGCTGCCCTCTGTATACAGACATTTTCGCTTGCCACAAACGTTCTCTCTCCCACCCAAACTTACCTGTTTCCACGTGATATTGTTGCATGAAAATAAGCATGTGACAACCCTTCACCAGTAGGAGTGCAACACACCATCCTAGCACAGCTGACTCTCTCTATTGTGATTGTTCAATGGTTACTTTGGGATTAGGCAAGAAAAGATGCACTGAAAGCAGGAAGGAAGAGTGGGAAGTATGAGAGGGGGTGAATATTTATTGGAAATACATTTTCAGCATTAGAAAATGTTAACTTCTGATATGATATGTACTCTCTGCTTACACATAGCTAGAATCCTACATTGAAGTGGTGGAGGGACCAGTGCAAAACTTACCTAGATGAGCCACCTTCAGAAAGTGCCTGAAGGGAACCCATGAAGTGAATCATCGTATACCATGGAACATTACATGGGCACACCCATCAGAGACCACAATTCATCTGTACCAGGGTACACTCTTTGCTCATAAAGAAGTGTTGCCAAGATGGATGGAAAACACAAGCACAGTCAAGAACCTAGATCAGGCTCATAGAAATGCTATATGCATAGTCAACTCCAGTCAAAAACCAGGAAGTACTGGAAATGAGTCATCTGGACCGTGGTAGATGGAGGGTCTCTACCATCTTCACCTCAAGCCTGGTGAGACAGAACAGGAATTTATCATTCAAACTGCAAATGAGTGAGGACTCATGTTGGCTGGTCCTGTGCCAATCCAACACTGCCCAGGAAATTGACATCTGGGTAGCAGTAGGATGGGGAAAAGCCAGCAGTAGGGGTGAACTGTACTACATGGACAGAACACCACTGCCCTACTCTCTACTGAGTGGAATTGGTCACATTCGGGAGGCAGCCTCCCTGGTCCATCACCCCAATGGCAAGGAACTGGTAAGTGGCAGAGACTCCCATGATCTACTAGAAGAAAAGGTAATGGGTGGGTGAAAGCATGTTGGGGAGTTTGAAAGATCTCATTGCTGTAAGACAGTTCAACAAATGTCCACGAAATCCCTATTTTTAAAAGCGGGTTAGCACTAGGTTCTAAACTAGGCATGGAGAATGGCCAGAGATTCCCAATCTCATGGGTAAGTGCTATATCAGGCTGTGATAGCCCTACACTGAGTGGATTTTAGTTAAGTATACCCTGTTATGCAACACCACTGAGCAGGATCCTGTAAGGGACTAGAGGGCTCTGTAAAAAAAAAAAGAAGGGTAAGAAAACAAAAGACACTTACCTAGCCAGAGACAGTATTATGTGTGAAGAACAGCAAGTGGAGGTAGGCTACAGCCTGGTGAGGAAGAAAAGGACATATTATGCAGATAGTGTGTGACAAAGGTGTGAGGGGTCGCCTATATGACAGCCTGACCAATCTACTCCAATGGAAAATGGAAGTGAGCAGTCAGTAAGTGAGATAGATAACAAATTTCATGAAAGGATACCTGGAAATGATAACATGCATCGCCATCTAATGAATAATATGCTAAACAGACAAGCCCTCTGACCATCTAGTGAGACTAACAGTAGTGGATGAAGGATTCTACAGAAGGAACAGCCAAATAACAATGAACTGCATGAACCAGACAGAGGAGGCAATCAGGATCAGAACAATAATAAAGATGAGAAATGGGTGGAAACACCCTCATGAGTCACAAACAGAATTATTATATGAAGAAGTGTTCAATCCAGATAGAGAAAGACATTGGAGTGATGGAATAGAATGTAAAAAGAACTGATGGTGTACACATACAAACTAACGGTCACAGGCAAGAAGGAGGAGAAAATAAGTTTTAAGGATAAGAAAGCCAGAGATTCCAAGAGAGGTGGGGTAAGTACATGGAGAACAACATTAAGGTCCCAGTCAGGTAGGCTAGAAGACAGGAAGCAATGAAGGTGAAAGGGACAAAACAGCACAATATGGACTGGGGAGGAAAAAATCTGATAAAAACAGGAAATCTGGAAAGTAGCCAAGAGAGTTGCCCAGTAATCAGCAATACTCAAGTGAGACTAGCCCTGGTTAAAAAGCCATGTGAAGAACAAAGATAGATGGGGAACAGAAGGATGAGAAGGATCAATGCAAAGATCAGTGGTAACAAATATACCACTTCTACTGATAAACTTCTAAGGAGGACAGGCAGAACACTGCATGTGAAGAGAACCCTGACTGTCCTGCAAGAGACTGGGCAAGTCCCATGAGTGAAGCCAGAGTGATGAGATGGCTGGATGGAAGAGAGAGGTATGAGGCCAAAGAAGAAGGGAGCAGAAGAGGAAGACATGTCTAAGCCGGCCAATAGAATTCCATCAGAAGGCCATGATAAGGAGTGTCCCATCTGAGGGAGAGAACTCAAGGGAGGAGATGAATAGAGGGATAAGCAGAAACAAAGAGATCCAACCAGTCCTACTGAACACATCCGCTGCTAGTGTCAATGGATATGGAACAGGAGACTCAAATAGGGAGAGCTTGGCATTGCCTTAAGTGGCAAAGGCATTGATGTGAGAAATGTCCAGAAGAGAATTATAGAGGAGAGAAATCCATGCCAAGGCCTGAAAAAGGCCCAGGCCACTTGCACGACTGCACCACCCACCACACAATAACCATCACATCCACTGACAGACAAAGAAGCTTAAGCTTAATTTTGGTAGTCTGTCTAGAGTGAACAAAGCTCAGATGTACAACATTAGACAGCATGGAAATGACTATCTCTGTGTAATTAATTTTGTGGAAAATAAAAGTCATAGTCTGCACAGGCAGAATTGTTTAAAAAAAAAACACACACACAACAGCTGCTTTTGTAGATACTTCAATCAAACAATAATGTTGAAAAATCTCATGCATGTGAAAAATTACACATCTTAACCCGCAAGTGCCAAATCCAGAAGTGATAATTAAACAATCAGTAAAGAGGGGAGTCAGCTGCACTAGAGACAGTGTTGCACTCCTATTGGTGAAGGGGTGTTGCATGCAAATAAGCATGTAACAATGCAGCAAAATCACGTGGAAATACATGAAATTAGGTAGGAGCCTTAAAGATAGTGGTGAGCAAAAATGTTCACATATAGAGGACAGCATTGAATCAGGAAAGCTAGATGTGAGAAGAGGTTATGTATCACATCTGAAATTAAAATTAAATTGATTAATGTAAAAATAATAATCAACTAACTGAATTAATGTTTCTGATTATTATTGTTTTTGAATATTCCAGCTGTCCAAGTATTGAAACAATGAAATTACGATTTTTCATTATTTTAGATTAATTCTAGGGTGTTAAGCTTAACTGATTACTGTCATGGCTCATGAACATAACTAATCAAAATTAGTGTCTCTGATTATTACTATTTTCATTTGTTCATGCTATACATGTCTCATGTGAGAATAATTGATTAGTTAAATGTAATTGATTAATGAGGTTGACAATTTATCAATATAAAATTCCATTAATTGCCCAATTCTAGTAGCCCATGTCTACACTCTTTTCAGCATGTTAATATCTTTTAATAACAATGACTACATGGGAAATGATCCCAAAAATTGTAAAAAATAATAAATAACAAAAGTAAATGTATGAAAACAGAGTCCTAAGGGATTCTACTAATCATAAATGTTCAACCAGATTATTACCCACATTCATATAGACTTTCTAATAGAAAGCCAAGGTTCTATCCAGTTTGTAGTTTTTCTAATAATTTCTTAAAAATAATCTTAATTACTAATCAATATTTTGTGTGGTATTTGAAGCTGTTTTTTTAACAGTCTGTAAAATGGTGGTCACAATATTTACCTATTCCTCACTAACATTTTCTACTTACTGTTTTACTGTATAAATGAACTAAATATAATAAACATTCTAAGATAAGCTTGGTCAAACATAAGATAATAATTAAATTTATCAAAACATGTGAAGCAACAATATACATGTAAATATTTGCAATATAAAGTGTCTACCAATACACACATTTTAAATACCTGTCATATACAGCAAAATAAAAAACATTTTGAATTTTTTCTGGTTCTTTTACTTGCATTTGTAATTTCATGTTTGATATATTTTAATTAAAATGTAATGCTTATTGATATCAAAGTTTTAGTATATATTATAGACCATGGTGTAAAAAAGAAGACAGAATCTATCCATTTGACAAAATTGGAAAAAAAAAGTGCTTGTAATGTACGTTAACACATAATCTTCCAATGTAAAAGTAGACTTTTCAGTGACTTTACCACATGTATTCAGAATAACCCATTGAACATCTTAAAATGTCAGTTGTATTGTAGAATGAGATTAGCATGTTTAAATGGTTATATCTTGCTAAATTATTCTTTCAATTTCTAAAATGTACAAAAAATAAAGGATCTTGTTTTTGATTAATTTTTACTGAAACGTTATTTACTTCTCACTGGGATTTTGCCATTTTCATATTCTACATCAATTAAGTTCCATTTCTTGCTACATACGCATACTTCCCCTAACTGCAAATATTAACATATATTTAGATAGTAGTCCTGTACTTACTGTCTCGAGTTCCTGAACTCTTTCCTGCAATGAGTTCTGGATTTCATTTTCAACTTGAACTTCTGAATCTTGTCGATGAACAGGAGGATCTCCAACTTGAACCTCTGAATCTTGTTGATGAATGGGATGATCTTCAACTTGAAATTCTGAATCCTGTTGAAGGTGAACAGACTGATCTTCAAATGGCTCTTGCAATGCATTGATTTCTAGCATGTAGGCATCTACTTTAATTATATCATCTTCCTCTACAGGTGCTTGTTTCTTTCCAATTCTTGAATCTTTCATCATGTCTCTTAGATCTAACAAGCCTTCACTATTCATATCTTCATAATGTTTTTTAATTAACTCTTCATCAAGTTCTATTGCATGCTCAGTTTCTGCTGGTATAATGGTGGATTTAGAACCATTCTTTTGGTTAAAGTTTCCTACAGTCTGGTCTTTTACTGAAATCAAGGAGAAATTTAAACCTCTGGTTCCTGAACAATCATTAGTAGCTGCTGTACTGATGACTGGTAAACTAACATCCCCTTTTGATCTCCTTTCCAGACTTTTTAAGTCATCAAAAACAAAAGGGTGATCACCACTTTTAGAATATCTCTCTGATTCTCTAATTTTATCCGCAGGACAATCTTGAATTATCACTGTTTTAAAGCACGGTTCTTCTGTAACAGATTCTATTGGAAGTTTATAAAGTTTAGAGGAGTCTTCTAAATGGGAAGAAGTATCACAATCACCAGAACTTTGCTGTAATTCTGTGATTTCATTTGCAGGACAATCTTGATCTATCACTGTTCTAATACAGGGTTCTTCTTTAACAGCATCTACTGGAAGTCCTTCATATGACTTAATATGACCTATGTGAACTTTCTCAATAAGTGGTAATTCCTCAGAATCTACTACTTTTAATGTCTCATCTTCCTTGAAATCCATACCTTCATTTTCAGTGGAATTTTCAATGTCAAGCAGTGTATCACTTTCATCAATGATATCGTCTTCTTGTACACAGCCTTCTGTCATGTGAGGTTCTTCATATTCATCTGGCCCACCTTGTGTTGTAGATTCTGTACTTTTAGCATTATCCTGCTCTTTTAAGGTACAATTTTGAGTGACAGATATGTCTTTGGCATCACATCTCTCAGGGTACTCTGTTTTATAAGAAAGTTCTTCATCTTCTTTATTTTCCAATGTTTTCATGGAATCAGATTCATCATTATTTTGATCTAGGACTACAATACCTTCAACACAACTATTAGAAATACTTAAATCACTAACACTTGCTTTGACTGAAAAAGTTTCTTCAATGCTTCTAAAAGAATAATCCTCATCTTTGAGAGTCTGTTCTACATTATCTTCAGAATTTTGGACATCAATTCTACTGAAATCTATTTTGTCCTTATGATTAAATTGTTTTATAGGTTTTGTTTCTTCTTCACTAACTATCTCTACTTCATCTCTTTTATTTCTGCTGTAAGTAACTTCATTATTACCTACTGAAATATGGGTATGTTCATTATTTGTTATTGCAAGCATAATCTCTTCTTGTAATTTTGCTCCCTCATCTTCCTCAACCATTTGTAATTCTTGTACATTTTCATTAGCATCTATGACCACAAGTGATGACTGCATGTCTTCAAATAAATCAACTCCTAGACTGTCAACAGCTGTCTCCATATTATTTCCACTATGATCTTCTTTAAGAATTTTATAGTCTCCTTTGTCCTCAGCTGTTTCTTCCTCATGTAAAACATTGTTCTTATTTATCTCAGTCTCTTTTTTAACAAGAACTTTGCTTTCAAATTCTCCAGAATGTTCTTCTCTATGTAATTCATTAATTTCATGTTCAATACTTTCACAATCTTTACGACATTCTTCATTTTCCTTCTCCTTAGTTTTATTTTCTCCAAATAATTTACAACTTTCATTATTTTGAGTTCCACTTTCATCTTTTTCGCTCTTATAATCACAATTTTCAGTATTCTCATCTTTATTTTCTCTAATAATGTCAATGATTATATTGTTTTGAGACTTTTTTTCATCAAACATTGTAATACTTACATTCTCTTCAGACTTGTCCAATTCAAGTGTTTTAATATCTCCATCTATCTCAACCTTTTCTTCTCCAGATGATTCATAAAAGCTGCTTTCCCCAGTTTGACATTTCCTGAGGAGTTCAGTATTTTCTTCTTTAGATGATTCAATAATATCACCACCTTTACTTTCTTCCAACAGTTGAATGCTTTCATCTTTTTCTTCTTTTTGTGTTTCAAAAATTCCAGTTTTACCTTCTGCAAACATTTCACTAATTTTACCTTTTTCATCCTTTTCTTCTACAGGTGATTCATTAGTCCTATCTATCTCATTTTTATCTTCTCCAAGGATTTCAATATCTTCATCTCTGTCAGAATTTTCTTCAACACATGCTTCATTATTCTCTTCTTCCTCCATTTGATATTTTAACATTTCAGTACTTTGATTATTTTCACACTTTTCTTCTCCAAGTATTGCATCAATTTCATTTTTATCAATTCTGTCTATTCCTAGCATATTAACATTTTCAATTTTTTCTTTTTATTTAATTCACTTAACTTGTCTTCACCAGCTTTATCATCTGTAACTATTTCAATATTTTTACCTCTTCCATCCTTTTCTTCTACAGGTAATTCATTAGTCCTATCTTTCTCATTTTTATCTTCTCCAAGGATTTCAATATTTTCATCATTCTCATAATTTACTTCTAAACATGCTTCATTATTCTCTTCTTCTTCAGTTTGATATTCTAATATTTCAGTATTTATGTTATTTTCAGACTTTTCTTCTCCAAATGCTTCATCAATTTCATATTTATTAATTCTGTTGTTTCCTAGCATATTAATATTTTCAAGCTTTTCTTCTTTATTTAATTCATTTAACATATCTGCAGCCATTTCACTAATTTCCTCTTCATCATAATTTTCTTCTCTACATAATTCCTTAACCCCATCTTTATCTATTTTATTTTCTGCAATTATTTCAATATTGCTAACATTTTTGGAATTTTCTTCAGGTAATTCATTAGTCCCATCTTCTTCAAGAACCTCAATACATTCATCTTTCTCAGAATTTACTTCACCAAATAATTCATTATTTCTTTCTTCCTTGATTTCATATTTTTCAAGATTTTTTTCTCCATGCAATTCATTATCTTCATCCGCTTTATCTTCTGTCAGAATTTTACTATTTTCAGTTTTTTCTTTACTAGATAATGTATTAGTCTCATCTCTTAGAATTTCAATATTTTTATTCTTTTCTCCTTCAAAATGTTCATTAACTTCATCTTCAGCACTTTTACCTTCTCCAAGAATTTCAATATTCTCATCCTTTTCAAAATTTTCTTCTCTATATGATTGATTAATCTCATTTCCTTCTGAATTACTTTGTTGCAAAATTTCAATATTTTGATTGTTCTCAGGTTTTTCTTCTCCACATAATTTAACATTACTATTTCCTTCAATTGTATCTTCATTAAAAAATTCAATACTTTGAACTTTTTCAATTATGTTATCTCCAAACAATTTATAACATTTATCTTTATCATTCTTATCTCCTGAATCTAGTTCATAATCCACACTTTTTTTACTCACTTGCATTTCAGGTAACTCATTATTCTTATAATTACTTTCTTTGTGTGAAGCAGATAAATCTTTATTTTCAACACTATTCAACATGTTGTTTTCATGAGCTTCTTCTTCCTCGTTTTTACATATGACATTGACATCAGCTTCCACACTTACTGCTTTTACATCCTCTAAAATAATAATTCTGGCTTTCTCCTGTTCTTGCAGTTGCTCAGTATTTATCTCTCCCTTTGAAACAGATGTTCCAATTGTATGAGGTTCCTTAGTTTTTATACTGGCCAACATATTATCATCAACATTTTGCCATCCAGCATTTTCTAATGAGAAGAAAATTTCCTGTGCTGCTTCAGCACCTGGACTAACATGCTCATCTTCAGATGAGAAATCTCTCTCTGCATAATGTCTTTGTTTGCTGCCTCTTTCAACAGAGGAAAGACCTGATAATGTTAGACAGCTGTCTGAGTCTGAAGAAGACAACCGATTTAATTCTTTTCTATCATAAAAAAACTCATCAGCTGATAGAACGCTGTTGGTGTCACTACCTAAAACTTCTATAGGAGCAGCCATATAATTTTCTCTTATTCCCCCCACTTGTCCCAGCTGCTGTCCAAGATCTTCATCAAGCTGATCTATTTCTGGTTCAAAAATACAAGACTGACTAGATGCACCTTCAATGGTGTCACTATTTTTATTCTGTTCCCTCAAAGAACACTGTTTTACAGTTGTTATGTCCTTTTCTTCACCCTTTTCACTTTCATTAGCTTGAGACTGAATAAAGGTTGTTGTGCAAAAGCTAGCCATTTCGGAAGAAGTGTTTTGTAAAACAGTGGCCTTACCAAATTCTGTTTCTTCTGTGCCCATCTGCTTCTTTCTAGCAGTTCTCTGAATATATCCCATTATTCCTGGCACATGACAAACAAAACACAAAGTGAGGAACCAAATGTACATATATATATGTGTATATATGGCAATAATGAGTAGCTAATGAAATATATAAACGATCAAAACACAAATACAATTATCACTTTCAAAATTTCCTATAGTCATACAAGCTAAAAAAAATTTTTGGTATCATGTGAACAACACTGGGCAACAACAAAAAATTTTTTTCTCTGATACTAAAAAATAAAACTGTTTCTGAGTAATTTGACAATACTGATTATAAAAATCATGTCAAAAATTACTGATCACTTTTAGTTTTTGAGTTATGATAGATTTATTCAAAATATTCTCATATATCGGGAAAATGATAACTTTTTCTTTAATAACTTTATTTATTCATTGAAAGTTAACATTTTCTTAAACTGAAAATGTCTTTCCAATAGACACCTCCTCTCAAAAAAAAGCTTTCTTGCCTTATACTGCCCTCTATCGGCGTAATTGTTTTGCTCGCCACTAGCCGTGATATTCCCACTTAACTCAGCATACCAACATGCAAATGATCATGCAGCAATCCTCCACCAATTGGAGTGCAACACTACCCCTATCATAACTAGCGCCCTATCTAATCTTACAACTATTAAGCACTTCGAGATTGGTCAGACCATACCAAACCACACTGGAAATGTGAGAGGAGATAAGTATTTATCAGAAATACATCTTCAGTCTAAGAAAATGTTAACATTCTCTCACAAATAGCTAGAATCCCACATTGAACAGGTGGAAGGTCATGGAGAAGATTACCCCTTGAGGAGTCACATAAAGGATATAAATTGGGCGTGACAAGGAACTAAAAACAACACACCCATGGGAGACCACACCATTTCTGAGCCAGGTATACTCTTTGTGGTAGGAGGAGGGTAACCAACCTTAGAACTTGCAGGAAGTTATGTGTCTCATCTGGCTACAACCAACACCAGATCCATATGGATGGTAGGAAGAGGGATGGCTATATGGGGTGCATCTCCAGTCCTAAACTTGGTGGCACTGGGAATTTATCATCCAGTCTGCAGTAGGAAGAGGGTAACCATTTAAACACATGTGAAGACTTATGTGGCTGGTCTGGCTCTAACCAACACCCAATTCCCAGGAACTGACATCTGGCAGATGCTAGGAAGGAAGGTGTTTCAGCTGGAGGGGCAAACTGCAATATATAGCGGAGTGTTACATCCAACACCTGGTGGCATCTGGAATTATATGTCAGGTCTGCAGTAGGAAGGGCATCATGTCATCTACACCAGCAGAATGCCACAGTCTCAACTGATTGTTATTGTGCACATTAAAAAGGACAGGCTTCCATGGTCCACCACTCTAATGGCTGGTAAGTGGCAAAGACTCCCATACTCCACTAGAAGAAGGAGGGAAATAATGTGTTGGAGAGTCCAGAGGTACAACAAGCATTAAACTCCACAGATCATCACAGATGAGCAGTGATCTCTGTCTGCTTTACTCATGTTAGTCCATGAATGTATGGTCCAGTACAAACATACTTATGAAGCAAAAGACCTTGAGGTATGCCTATGAGCGGTACTCAACAGTGGGTGTAATATGACTTGGATATGTGTTATGACATTGTATTTTTAAAGCAGAGAGAACACACTGACGGAGTTGATCAACCAACGTCTGGCAGCAACTGTAATTGTATATCAAGTCCGAGGTAGGAGGAGCCTCAACGTCACAGTCATCTAGCATGTTATATAATTACAGGTCGTACAGTGCAGATTTGAGACTAAGTATACCTGGTCAGTCAACACTTGCCACAGAGCAGGATTCAAACATGCAATAAGAGCCCCTACAAAGAAAAAGAAAATGAATGGAGCACCCACAGACAAACTGTTATAGCAATAATGATGTCCTCCAAGTGAAGATGGAAATGTACAACCAGGGACATGGTAAGGTGATGGATCAGATGGAAAGAACACATGAAAAAGGTGATAAACATCAGGAGAAAGGGAAGAGAATTCCAGATGAATGAACTGGCAAATTCAACATGTAAGGGTAATGGGAAAAAAGGTCACAAGAGAGGTGAGAATTCCATGGAATAAACAAACAGACTTTGACACTATGGTAGAGCACAATTCATGTCATATACCATCAAAGAGCCCTGACCAGGTAAAGTATGTGAGCAGGTTTGGAATGGTAATAAAGGTGGGAAATGGAGGGAAAAGAAAAGGGTGTGAAGGTAGGATTACCCTAATGAGAAGTCGAAGTCTTTGCCATAAAGGAACGATCAGAAAAGAGGAGGGCATAGGAACTATGAAACAAAATGCAGCAAACAACAATCGCAAACACATCAGAATGACAATGTTCGCATGCCAGCAGAAATGAAACAAGAAAGATAGGGAAGAGCATGAAGGACCACATTGAGGTGCCAAACAGGAAGTGAAGCAGGATGGGGAGGATGGAAGAAGCAGAAGGAAAGAAAGAAATGGATAAGACTGGCAACTGGAAAACACAAGCACATTTTGTATACTGAAATGTAGCAGATAACACCACCCTATAGCCAATAACAAGTGAATCCAAAAGACCCTGTTCAAAAAGCCAAGGCAAAAAGGATGGTATGTGAGGAACAGTAGAATGGAAAAAACAATAACCCATACAGACAGACCAACACGGTGGTAGGTGTACCATTTATGTTGGTAAACTGCCATGGTGGAAGGACAAACAGGATGAGAAACAAAGGAAGCTAAATGTGAAAGTCTGGGGCTGACAGAGGAGTTTCGGATATAAAGTAAGAAAAATAGGAGGCAAGACCCAAAACTGGCACTGCAGTAGAAACCACATGTAAGCCAGCCAATATGGAGTCAGAAGCAGAACACTACATGGAGTGGTCTGAAATATGGCAAGGACACATGGAAGGAGATGAATAGGAGGATAAGCATATAGGTACCAACCCAACCAATCCTGACTGAGAGCATAGAGTGCTCCTACCAAAAAATGAGGGCAGGAGACCAAAATTGGGGAAATGATAAAAGCGTCCAAATCTGGGACACCCCACAGAGCACACAAAACCCAAAAAATGTGAGAATCCAAAGATAACTCAACACGGAGAATCTTGTTGGGACAAGATA